GCCGCGAAGGGCCCAAATCCAAGCGTGCGGGCCAGTGCCGAGGCCAGCCCAGTGAGCCCGCACCAGAGATCACTCCGCCAAAGGCCGCTCTTACGCGGAGCTTGCAGGGACGTGGGAGCCTCTTCGCCCCTCGACAAGCAAGCTCCACTGCTCGCAGAATAACTGCTCGCAGATGGCCTGGATCCGCCGATGGGGCTTTGCGATCCGTGACATCAAGACAGGCGTTCATTTTTGTTCGGATGTGTGCGAATCGGCGCTTTACGGGCAGTGGAACGCGCTCGGTGAGCTCCTGCCCCCACCGCCGCGGCAAGGCCTCCTGGAACGGGCCATCTCCGCTGCTGGCATCAAACCTCGGCAGCTGCAAGGCCGGCCGGGGGTCGGCCGACGAGGACGCCACGGAGGCGGCGGAGGCGAGCGGATCGCCGAACTCCGAGCACTCCCGGCCGCCAAAGTGCCGGAGGAACTTGCTGGCGTGCCCGGGCCTCATGCCCACGTCTCGCGCAAGGTCCCGCAGCGCCTCCGGGTCCAGCGTGTGGATGCTAGAGAACCCCAGGACGCGACACGGGGTCAGACTGGCATCGGTCCGCGCGGGCTTCTTGGGTCGGCGATGGGCCGACCTCCCGACCCCCCTTCCCCTAGGGGCCCCGGCGGGCGGAGCGCGCCAGGGGCGGCCCATCTGCGCAGCATGCAGAGGCCAAGCGCTGGATACACCTGTGCGGATAGCCGGCATGCCCCGCCCAGCAGGGGCCGTCGCGCTGGAAAGATACGCGGCTAGATGCGCGTCCAGCTCTCGCCCAAGCCGCCGCCCACGACGTGTGCATCCAACTTCAGGGTTCGTGGATGCGACGCTCCCTCGCTCCCGCAACGCTACGGGCCCACGCGTATGTGGACCTCTTCCCGCCGACAAGCTCTTCATCTTGCATCGTTTTTGAGGGTCCTGGGTCCCGGGGCCAGGAAGCGGCCTCCGGAGGCCCTGGACCATATCCTCTGTGGATGGGGTAGACAACAGTTCACAAAGTTATTCCTCTTCCTGAGGAAAAATGTTCGTTGTACAGGGTTCCAGTCTTTCTTGAAGGTGCTGCTGCCGACCGTCGCGATTTTTCTGCTGCGACGCCCGAGCCTGGATGCCATTCGGAGGAGGGCGAGTTGAGACAGCGGCGGTTCAAAACGAAAGGGTCCCCAGGCCTCTCCCGTGGCTGGCTCCAAGCGCACCAGTCTTCCGAGCTGCGCCCAGCCGTGGCCACGAGGGCCCCCGCGGAGGCCAACCGCCGTCGGCTCAGCTGGCCTTCCTTTGAGTTCTTGGCGGTTCTCTAGGATGTACTCCAGGTCGTCCCACCCCATCTCCTCGAAGGTCTCCGCGTACCTCCGAGGCTCGACCCAAAGAGTGTTTTCCGTTTTCGCTATGCTGTCGTTGCCCCCCGTTCTGTCTCCGCTGCAAAGCGAGAGCAACAAGAAACGGCACACGAACTCGCCCAAACAACGCTCTGGCCATCGCTCGGACGTCCATTCCCTGAGTTTTTTGTTGGTTCCGAGCGTGGTCTTTTCGCCAAATGATCAAGGATGTTTTTTGATGGTCCTTGTTGAAGGAAAAACGCACACGTTTGAGCGATGCCAAGCGCTTAGCTCGAGCCCTGCGTGAGGGGCAGCGATCGGCGGGGACTGACTCAAGGGGAGGGACATCGACCTGGAATCGGCGACACGTCGCCGATGGATCGGCGCTAGGCCCCCGACATCGCATCCACACGGTCCTGGGCGGGGTGGGCTATGGGGCCCCCATCGGCGATCCCTGGGCGACTGGGGGGCCCATGCTCCCCCCCCCGGAGCCTACCCCCCCCTAACATTGGCTGGGCTCGGGTTTGGGGCCATGGCTCCGCTCTCCGGCGCACCATCCAGGCACCCCTGGAACCGCCCTCGCGGCGAGGCGAGGCCGCTGGAAACCACCCCGAGGCTGGGACAGTGCCGCGAGCCGACAGAACGTATGAAAGCCTCGGGAGTCGAACCCGAGACGTTTCCCAGCTGTTTGGACTCCCGAAGTGGGCACGGAAAGACGGGGTACAATGCCCAACAACAAATGTTGCCCCAAACCAACAGCGGCCGCTGTTGGGCAGGCGGCCTTCTGTCTCGAATGGACACAGGCCGCGGCGGCGTGGACAGCGAATCCTGCGCAAAATTAACAGGAGCTGCTGTTGGGCATTGTACTCACTTTTTCCGTACCAATTTCGGGCGTCCACAAGATAATATAGGTTTTTCTGTAAATTAGTAAAGGTAAATATCAATTTTCGAAAATGATGTTTTCATTCTTGTCTTCCATGTGGAGATTCTCGAGATCACAGTTGTCTAGAGTTACAGATGCGATTCTGTTCAAAGGTGTCTATGCAAGTTCCCAACAACAACTGAAAACACTTCATTTAGACCTGAGCCCATCCCCCCCCTCCGCGTGGCCCCCGACTGCGGACCTCTCCAGGCGCAGCGAGCCCAGCACCTCCCGCACGGCCTCCATTCCGGAGCGGCCCGCCGCGGGCGCCGTGGGCGGGCCGCAGCCCGCCGCGCACCCCGGCTCGCCCGCCTCGGCCCGGCCCCGGGGGCTCGAGCCGGAAGGGCCGCAGCACGCGCCGCCCGGGCCTCCGTCAGGACGTTTCTCCTGGCCATCCCTGCGGCGCTGGGTCCTCGGCCTGGAGAAGACGGCGCCCAGCGCCTCCTCCTCCTCCTCCTCCTTTCCCTCTCCTCCCTCCTCTCCGTCCCTGCCTGCCTCTTCGCCCTCCGCGTGCGCATCTTGGCACACCCCTCACATGCCCCGTGGCTCCACAGGGAGAGCTCCACCGGAGCCCCCAGCAGGGATTTGCGTATGTGGCTCCCCACACCCCTCACACGCTTCGTGACACCATAGGACGGGGTTTCGGATGTGGTTCTCCACGCCCCTCAAACGTTTCGTGGCCCCACAGCGTGCTCCACCGATGCCCCCATAAGGGGAGTGTTGCATGCGTTTCTCTACACCCCTCACATGTTTCGAGGCCCCAGAGGGAGTTCCACCGAAGCCCCCAGCAGCGGGTTTTGCATGTGGTTCTCCACACTCCTCACACATTTCGTTGCCCCAAAGAGAGCTCCACCGCAGCCCCATGATGGGGTTTCGCATGTGGTTCTCTTCACCCCTCACACGCTTCGTGGCCACATAGGGAGTTCCACCGGAGCCCCCCGGGGTTGGTTTCGCATGCGGTTCTCCATCCATTTCGGGATACCTAATGCTGGTCGAACATGACTTTGGCCCACGCCTTCCGCCAACCCTCTGAGCGGCCGGTGGCGTCTACGGCCGGCTCGTGCCGTGACGACCGAGGCATTGTTTTTTCTAACACCGCGAGCATGGGGCAAACTTGAAAAAAAAACCGGCTTGTCGATCGCAGGATCGTTCCGCTGTGGCCGATGCTGGGGCGCCCGCGATGCAGCCTGGAACGGAGGAGGAGGAGGAGGAGGAGGAGGACGAGGAGGAGGAGGAGGAGGACGCCTCGGATGACCTGTCATGCAACCAAAAACGGGAGCATGGGCGGGGAGGAGGAGGAGGAGGAGGAGGAGGAGGAGGAGGAGGAGGAGGAGGAGGGAGGAGGAGGGAGGAGGAGGAGGAGGAGGAGTAGGAGGAGGAGGAGGAGGAGGAGGAGGAGGAGGATGAGGAGGCGGAGGAGGAGGAGGAGGAGCCCGCGCTGGGGTCGTCGCCGCGTCGGTGCGACACGGACCTGTCGCAGAGCATAGCTCTCTGAGCTCCTCTCTCCGGTCCCTGGGCGAGGGGCTCCCCCCCCCCGCCAGGCCCGAGCTGGACTGGACCGCGAAGCCGGATCGGTACGGGAGCGGGTCGGACCGCCAACGAGTCGTCCGGTGGTGGGCCTGTTCCCCACCACCACACCACCACCATACGTACGAGGGGAGGGGGTCCTCCTCCTTCTCCTCCTCCTCTTCTTCGTCGTCGTCGTCCTCCTCCTCCTCCTCCTCCTCCTCCTCCTTCTCTTCCTCCTCCTCCTTCCCCCCTCCAACTTATGGTGGTGGTGGTGGACACCAAACCCATCACGTCCCGAACCGGATCAAAATCGGGCGCCGCCGTCGAGTCGAGCTTGGATCGTGGCCCCAACTGGCGAATCGAATCGGATCGAAGTTGGTCGTGAGCGGCCCTGCACCTCCCCCCCCTCGCCGCAACGCCTGCTGCCCCTCGCAAGTGGGCTGGGTGTAGCTGGCAGTCTCTGGCGGCGCGCGCGAGGGGGCGGGGGGTGAAGGGAAGGGCTTCTTAGAGGGCGGCTGCTTCTCAGAAGGCGCCGGCCCTGCATCCTCAGAGAAGGCCCGCGCCTTCTCAGAAGCAGGGGTGCTGCTCAGACGCCCTCCCCCCTCGCAGTCTACTCCCCCTGCGCGTGGCTGGAGTCTGGCGCGGCGGCCGCCCCCGGCCAAGAGCGCGGAGAGAAGGGCGAGCTGCAGAGCGGAAGCCCTTGCCGGGCGCAGCCTCCGATGAGAGGGCCCTGGGGCTGGGGTCCGTCCCCCATGGCCCTTGTGAGAGAATTCTGGGCTGCTTCTTGGGGCCCTGCCGGGGCCTCGTGCCCACTGGGGCCTCGTGGCGCCTCTAGCCTCCCAGAGCCTCTGGGGCCATGCTTGGGCCGTTTTGGCGCACGCGTGGGAACCACTGACAGGCCCAGCCTCGGGCTTTGGGGCCTCTCCTGGCGCCGTCTGGGATCTGTCTTGTGGTGCTCCTGGATGCTTTCGGGCCCTCTTTTGGCCTGGCGGCTTCTACTCATGCTGAGAATCTGGGGGTTGTCCTGGAAGGTCCCAGGGCCACCGCAGAGCCATCTTGGTGCCTTCTTGGGCCATCTGGGAGCCATGCTGGAGGCCATCTTGGGCCAACATGGCCCCTCGGGCGCCATCTTGGAGGCCTGCCTTGTCCTGTGCAACCTTGTTTGGCGGAACAGCGGACCCCCTTCACCCCCTCTGTAAAATATTGTTGCCTCCATGTGACGCGGATCAAGCATCCGTGTGACGCAGGGGGTCCGCATCATAAGTGCACGTCGTTTCTAGAGCATTCTGCACGTGTGAGTGAGCGTTTGAGTGTGCGTATGCGACGAATGGCTGAACACGTGTGAATCTGAATGCCAGAGGCTCCAGCGATTAATGCATCTGAATACGAGCGAAACTGGATACGGTGAGGTCATGGGATAAAGAACCATTGGATACGGAATCCAGGGTCTGGAAGCTGGTGGAACACCAATCGTGGATTGCCAAGAATCCTCCAAGATCTGAAGCCCCCCCCCCGGGCACATTCCTGAACGACCGCCCAATCGTATGAATAGCTCCGAATCTGGGCTAGCTTCTCGAAAAGGGTACCGCCCTACTTTCGTCATGGTGTTTCACATTTGCCCGCCCCTCTTCCTCTCGCTCTTACTCTCTATCATCGGTCACAAACTGTCAAGGTAACATCACGACACGCGGGTGCCATAGGCGGGGATGCGAAGGCCGTTTAACGAGTAGGACCACGAAGAGGATGTGGAGGAGCAGGAATTGGATCGGCCTTCGTACCAAACCAGGCAGTCAACACCACACCGGCACGCATTTCACTACGTCCGACCACACACGCGACCAGACGAGACTGGACCGCATTCGGCAAGGCCAATGACCATCAGACCGTGCAAGACATCATGGGGACGCTGGTCGCCGGATGGGCTGGTGGAGACTCGCGCAGTGTCTAGAGATCGGAGGTCTTGCGCTGTCCCTGAGCGCGTTGCTGAAGATTCTTGCTGAGCCGTGTGGCTGTCGCTGCTGTTGCCGTCGTCGCCCCCGCAAGCCACCCTGCGACCCACCTGGTGACCCACCCCGCGATCCGCCCGCGACCCGCCTGCGACCCGCCCGCGTCCCGCCCGCGACCCACCCACGACCCGCCCGCGACTCACCCACGACCCACCCGCGATCCACGCTCGCGACCCACGCTCGCGACCCACCCACGCTGAATAAAAAACTGCCATCTGTTGCGATTCAGTTGTGTTGAAATGAAACAGCGGCGCAGGCGGCGGGCTTCTGTACTCTGGCTTTCGAGTCTCGCGCCCAGCTGACGCCCATCACCCTCCTCGCGACCCGCCCACATTGCCTTGCAGCAAAACAACAGCGCCTGCGACTGGCTCATGGCGCCAGAAGCAGAAAGCGCTCGAGGCAAGCCTGCTCACCTTGGCGCTCCCCGCAACCCCGGCAAGGCAGCCCAAATTATCCGGAATCGCGATGGTTTGGTGTAGTAACGACGTGCCTAGACCCGAACCCCTAAACCCTACACCCTGATTTGCTGACTGCGAACTTGTTGCGTCGCGCCGAGCTGAGGCTCCCGCACATCAGCGAGGCGACGGCCTCGATTCCGTGCCGGTCCACCTGGCGGCGAACAACTCTTCGCCCGTGAAGCGGAGCGAGCGAGCGGAAGGGGCAGGCCTCCTCCTAGGCATGCTGCTCCTGCTGCTCCTGCTGCTCCTCCTCCTCCCCCCTCCCCCCTCCCACTGCCCACTTCCCCTCCCGCCTCCCCCTGCCCCCCCCTGGCCCTTTTCGCCATTTCCTCCTCGTCCTCATCTTCCTCCTCCCACTCTTCTTCCGCCTCCTCCCTTGAACTCGCCCTTGTCTTCCTCCTCCTTCGCTGTCAGGTGGTTTAGTCACGGGGCGTTTGAAATTGCGTCTGTGCTGCAAAAAACGAACAACGGTTTCACGGCGTCGGCCATGCGCGCCACTACCCCTTTCCCCCTCTGTTGCCAACTTAGATCACGGGTCAGAGAGGTCACCAGCACATGCGCAACCGTGGCCACGAGACAATAGTGCCAGGCCCCTCCGCCGTCAGCAGCAGAGCAAATTGGCTAATGTCAACAAACATCGTAGCAAGCTGCAGACCCTGCGCCGTGCAGCCCCGTCTAAGGTAGGCACCTTGAGGCGCACTGGGAGTTTGCCCACGGGAGCTCACGGGGCGGGAGTTAGCGGTCTGATCGATTGCACGTTGATGTCTCTGCGTTCTTTGGCTGGCACCTTCGTGGCCGCGAAGAGGACACTGGCGCTCTCACTCGTGGCTGGCCACTCAGAGGGACCTCTTGTTGGATCCTGCTTGTGATGCGACCATCCCGCTGGTCACGAGGCGCGCGACCACCATGCGGGGCTCCGCTTGCTCGCTCGATACGCTCCAGCGCTCGTGGGTGGTAAGTCTGCGGGACTCTGCGATTCTGATGTGTGCACGTTCTGTCTTTCCAGCGCGGCCATCTCGATGGGCCACCACAATTACGACTGTAGTGGGGTCCTCAACCACCCTCAGTATCGGAGGCCGGGGGATTGTGGAGTCGCTGTGGGTTTTAAACGAAAATTTACGATATTTCAGTTTGCTCCTCATCATTATGCTGATGTTTCCTTTCTCGTTTTTTTTTTGTTTTTTCCTCTCTCTCTCTCTCTCTCTCTCAATCTCTCCCACTCCCATTCCCATTCCATTCCCATTCCCAATACCATTACCATTACCATCCCCAT